TCAACCCAGTATAGAGAAAACGAGTGTTCTCTCGAAACTATATTCGAGGAATGAATCCTATCTTGGCTCAACTACCAATTCCATGTATATCGTGATCTACCCAACACAAGCCCGTATCTACCCATAAGGGCGTAAGCGTTGGACTAGGTCTAAGTAAATCACTCTATACATGAATTGCGTATTGACCTCAAGTCAAAGGACTATTACACCATTCCACACACCGATACTCCCATAGACACATAAACAAATGGTTTATCGGTAGGGTATGCCAATACTCTCCAAAGTATCCATGTGTCCATCACGAATAACAATTATTCATAGCAGTGAGACATACTATATTCTCGAAGAATGTGATGCAGACCACATGTCAATCTATCGCGTATCATTAATATCCCTTTCTTAATGATCATTGATTGAGGCGATTTGAGAGTTATACTTCATCAATTAACATCTCACTCTGCTAATGACAGTATTAACTCAAGGGAGCAATTAATTAATAAATTGCAAACAATCAAACAATTATTTAATTAATTGCAATACCATAATTATAATCCAATATAATTTTTAATGTGATCATGTATATATGTCCTTAAAATGATTGTCTCTAGAACACATATACCAACAAAATAGATAAACCGGGCCTATATTGGCATTATTACGATAATAATGTTGGCATGCCATACATGAGAACAATTCACCGACTATATTACAACTCACTCACCTTCGTAAACAAATTAGCAACCGGTGGCGGGAGGCCTTCCAAATTCAAATTAACTAGTATTTGCTCTTGTGTATTTGCACAGATATAAAATACGTTTTTGTTTGTATTTATTAATTAGACACGTACTTCTATTATATAAAAATTATTATTTTTTCTTAAGTTATTTTTATTATTCAAAATTAATTGAGATTTAAATTTTATTTTAACCATGCAACGCTTACATTAGTAACATGAATAAAATAATTTATATATTTGTGGCATATATTAAGAAAAATAAACATAAATAAAAAAATTATTGGTGTTTCTGATTTTTAGAAAAAAAATATGTGACAATCATATTTTTTCTTCCAACAATGCAACCAAATATAGCGGTTACAGCTCTGAATGTGTCAATCAACTTTAAGTTCCAACATTAGCCGTTACACATCTTAATATTTTGCTACCAAATTTAAAATTAATTTAGTAACTGATCCAAATAATAATAATAATAATAATAATAATAATATAATAATAATAATAATAATAATATAATATATATTAAGGTGTAACGGTTTTAGCAGATTAGTAAATAATTAACTAAAAAAAATATAACTCCTTTTGGAGAGAAATGAAAATAGGTTTATTAAAGATTTTATTAAATGCATCAGCCAGTAATTATATATATATATAGATATGATAAATATTTTTTAAAAAATGATCAATATAATATACTAAAAATAAAATTTAACCATACAAAAGGCATGTATATGAAAAGTAAAAATAAAAAATAGAAGTCGTCATAAATGTAGGCTGTAAATAGTTAAATTGTACTTTTGAATCTAAAAAGATCACAAAAAGGTTTCTGAACGCCCATCTTTTTTATTACCTAAAACACGGTAACAACTTTTTGACTTATTGATAAAACATACTAAAAGCACATTTAATTTTATTTCAAATCCAACTTGCTCATAGTCATAGCTACTGTTTTGTAATTTTACATTCATGATTACAAAAAAACTTCATCGAATTAATTTATTATTTTACTTCAACAACAATATCCTCTTGCCAGTGGTCATATCCACAAGAGTTTAGAGATTCGTTCTATATATAATTTTAGAATGTCCACATATAATTTCAGAATGTAGACTTATATTAGAATAATTTTAGAATGTCCATATATAATTTCAGAATGTAGACTTATATTAGAATGCCCGTATATAATTTCAGAATGTGTTGAATCTACGTGGCAAATTTTCATGCATTGAAATTCTATTTGGCAAAAAATCATGCTTTAGAGTTAGGCTTGGATATAAATTAATATTTGTATTAATTGTATTTTAATATTATTTCCTATTATAATCATTGAATTGCAAATATATTTTAAAAGTTGATAACTTTTGTATTTCTTATCGGTTTTACATATATAATATATCCAATTAATCATTTATTGATGAGCTTCGATTTGACATCCATATTGTATATATAAAATAAATAAATTATATTTATCTTTATAATAATAATAAAATTATTTATTAAAATTAATTAGAAAATAAAATTATTTATCAATTAATATATTTATGTTTAATGTAGTTATGTGTTATAAAGTAGAATATAACACATATAAGTCGCACAAGTAACATGTGTCATACTAAAATATATAATAATATATACTCCCTCTTATTTTTATTATTTATCGCTTTGGCTTAATTGATCATTGATAACATAAATGTCATTTTAGATATCTTGTTCATATTTTTTTCATTTTTAACCCTCCATCTAATACACAGTGTCTCTTCATATCTCATCTTCATCGTTTCCCATAACATCCATTAAATAGGGTTAATATTGTCAAGAAAAATAAAATTTAATTAGAGTGTTGCATTTGAATTGATATTATGAAGTCCGTTTTATTTTACAATTTATATATATATATATATATATATATATGGGGTCACGCTCCAGTGAGAATGGTGCTTAATGAAAGAAATAAGAATACATCATAGACGTTGGATCGAATGATCCGACGACTTAAAAAAAGTCAAAAATATACCTTCATTAAGAGTATTGCAGTAATTTTCACCACACACAAAGAGGTGGACCCCACTCCACATTAATAATAAAAAATTTGCCAACTAATAAACACAATTAATGCCACTTAATCTGCAACCCGCCCACTCCCCCAGGTAATCTCTCTCTCTCTCTCTCTCTCTCTCTCTCTCTCTCTCTCTCTCTCTCTCTCTCACTCACACACACACACACACCAACGGTCGCACACACATATACACACACTTGAATTGGTCAAAGCCTGACAGCTACCGGCAACTCCACAGAGCGCCGCCGCAGTCCGACACCGTTCACCGCTCCGCACCGGCCGATACTCGTGAACGCCAGTGCCAGTCGACGCCTTTCAAAGCCGACCATGCCTCTCAAATCCGCAGGAGAAGACGACCTCGTCCCGTCGGAGAATACGAGTTGTCCCGCCGGAGAAGACGACCTCGTCCCGCCGGAGAATACGAGCTGTCCCGCAGAAGAAGACGACCTCGTCCCGCGGAGAAGAAGAGCTTTCCCGCCGGAGAAGACGACCTCGTCCCGCCTGCCAACCTCCGTCGACCTCCGTCACCTTGGATCCAGTCCTGTCACCAGAAATCGGATTGGAGGAGATGAGATCCTGCAGTTCGAACCTCGCCATCTCCGAGGGAGGAAACGATTCCCGAAATTGAAATTGTGTGTGATTTGGGCATCTTTTTGAGAATTAGGTTATGTACATGGATCTATTTGCAATTTTATCAATTTTAATTATATTTTAATTTAACCTATGGGTCAAATCTGTAATTATTTAAAATTAATAAAAATTGTTTCTTATATATTTTGTTGTGCATTTATTAAATAATAAATAAAATTATAAAATAAAGATAATGTAAAAATATTAAAATAATATAAAAATGTGTTATAATAATAAATAAATTATATAATAAAAATAATAAATAAAAGATATTTTAATTATTTAAGTAATTTCAATGTACAATTATAGCTATTAAGTGATTTTCGAATGTACATTATTTATATGGGAAGGTATAAATTAGTGCAATTTGTATGGTGGAATGTTGCACTTTATAAAACATCTCGTTGCACTTTACAAGACATCACGTTGCACTTTATTAAAATAAACTAACGTCAACAACTTCCGTAAAAAATATTGCGCGGTATGAATCTAATCGAATCGATACACTTCTAATTAGTTTGTGTTGTATTCAGGGAATTTTGTGAACATATTTGTTTTTTTTTTCATTCTGTATTCTGATATTTGTGTTTTGAATAAATTATTGTAGTTGACTTTTTGTATATAGTGTATGTTGGATTATTTTGGGAGAATTGATTCATATTAGTTGGTTGAACAAGTTGTGATTTGTTGAACAGGTTGTGAAATGGATCCAAAAAAATATTTTGCATTTTTTTGCAGAGAAAAACGTATTCTAGGAATACGTTTTATGAAGAATTAGGGCAAATTTAGGGCAAAATCAATTTTTGGGGGAAAAATTGATTTTACAAAGAAAACGTATTTGCAAAATACGTTTTATATTTCCAAAATTATTTTCTCCAGAATTTTTTTTTAATAATTTTAAAATTAGTTTTATTTAAAAAATGTATTTCAAGAATACGTTTTATAATTAAAAAAACTCGTGAAATTAATTTTAATTATAAAATATATTGCAATAATATGTTTTTTGTTTTTTTGACTTGAAAACGTATTTCGGCTATACGTTTTTACTTAATTTAATTAACTTAATTATATTAATTATATTAATTAATTAATATTTAAGAAACTGTATTAGTGGAATACATTCTACACTGAAAAACGTATTCTTTGAATACGGCCTTTTTATTTTTTTTCACTACTTTTTTTTTCATTTTTGTCCACTGATTTTTTTTATTTTTAAATAAATAAATAAATCCCCATTTTATAGTGTTAATTTGGGCTATTAATCATTTTGGCACTAGTACAATAATCATAGCAGCGAGAGACAATATGATTTCACCGTCACTCTGTACAAGGAAAAAGATGAGGACTGTTTTATTTTCATTGTGTCCTATTAAATTGTCAACAGTCAACACCCACCTAATGCAGAAGTCCATAGCCAAATGAATCGTGAAAGAATATATAGTTAATAATAATAACAATATTCAAAAGCCTATGAAAGAACATTAGTCCCACATTAATATTTTCTGCGGATATGATTTAAAAGGCATACGCATATTGATTTTTTTAATAAATAAATAAATAGAGTGAGTTTAGGAATAAGACCAGTTGTAAATTAAAAAAAGACCCATCTTAAATTTAATTTGACCTTTAGAAAAGGGAAAAGACCAATTTCCAAATGAAATATATACATATTTAACTGCTTCTATTGTCAATTATTAGCCCGTGCTTGATATATGGGTAGTTGAAATTTCACCTCCAACACTAATTATTACTAACATGTTTGGAAATTACCTTTTTTTATTGGGTAAAGTCCACTTTTGTCTTCCATGTTTAGCGGTATCCAGACTGAGTCCCTATTATGTTTTGGTGCCCAATTTTAGTCCTTAAAACAAAAAAATGAGTCCCTATTATGTTTTGATGCCCAATTTTACTCCTTAAAACAAAAAAATGAGTCTTTATTATGTTTTGGTGCCCAATTTTAGTCCTTAAAACAAAAAAATGAGTCTCTATTATGTTTTGGTGCCCAATTTTAGTCCTTAAAACAAAAAAATGAATCCCTATTATGTTTTGGTGCTCAATTTTAGTCCAAAAAAAAAATGTAGTCCCTTTACCTCAATTTCTGTGAATTAACGGTCCATTTTTGCTCGACTGTGATGTTCTTTATTTTTGTAAAATTTGTTGATTAATGTCAACTTTGACCAAAAAAAAATAAAAGAAAATTTAAATGCTGAAAATATATTAATAAAAAATTAAACTACAACAAGAAATTGCACTAAATTAAATTAAAATTTTTGCTCGTCTGATTTCTATTCCCCTAGCATTCGCGCTGCGGAGCAAGCCTGGAATCACAGCTAATGCTCTTGCACCCATTTCCGGGTCATGCTATCGAAAAAAATTGCACCTATCAACCCTCTGTTTTTTAACCATTTCTTATCATATTCCAATTGAAGTTCGGAAAGTACTTACAGGATATAGAGGGCAACTCAAGAATCTTCTTCCGAGATTATCATCCTTCCAGCATGTAGTCAACTTTGCAACCAGCTCATATCTACAAAATACCACACCATTTCCATCCATTTGATCGGATTTAGTCCCTAGGCGGTTAGGGTTCTTTTTTTACGTTTCACTGCAGTTCACTATTTCTGCCTTTTATTTTACTTTTTCAGCATTTAAATTTTCTTTTATTTTTCTTTGGTCAAAGTTGACATTAGTCAACAAATTTTAAAAAAATAAAGAACATAACGGTTGAGCAAAAATGGACCGTTAATTCACATAAATTGAGGTAAAGGGACTACATTTTTTTGTTTTAAGGACTAAAATTGGGCATCAAAACATAATAGGGATTAAGTCTGGATACCCCTAAACATGGAGGACTAAAAGTGGATTTTTCTCAATTATAGGGACTACATTTTTTTGTTTTAAGGATTAAAATTGGACACCAAAACATAATAGAGACTCAGTCTGAATACCCCTAAACATGGAGGACCAAAAATGGAACTTCCCCTTTTTTATTTTCTAATTTATTTTTGTGATCAAGAAAATCATAAGGTGTAAATTAGTAATTGCAGAAATATTCGCATGCTCTCCATAAAAAGTATGAAACAAGACACAGCACTGTCAAGTGTCTCTTCATATGCACTGACCATTTTTATTCCATTCTCACATACAGCGATACACCCAACATCTAAAAGAAAATAAAATAAAATAAAAAAGAAAAAAAAGAAATCGCACATGATAATTCTCAGAGTAGAGTCGGGAGTCAGCAAAATTCAAACCCAACCATTCATTTATTTCAAATCCCAAAAAACCTTTTTGTTGTTTTCTTCTTCTCTGAATAAAATTCCTTGGATCCACCACATATATTTTTCAACTGTTTGTTTGTGGGCTGAGAAGGTTTAATTTTATTTTATGGCGGATACACAGAGCGACATCGAGAGAAGGGAGAACGGCGAGGTGAGCCGGCGGGAAATTAAAGCCGCCATTGGCAAGGCCGTTGAGCTCAGAGCTCTTCACGCGGCGTTAATGGCGGGGGACTTCACAGCCGCTTCCCCTTTTTCTCGTCATGCCCGTAACTTATCTGCTCAGGACTACCCAGTTTTCACCCCTGTAAGTATTCTATTATTCCCTTTTCCTCCTATTCAATTTTCATTCACAGTTGATTGCTGACAGCTGGGAATTATCGTGATCTATCTATCATAAAGGCTTTTCACACTTCAATTTTCATTGCTTCTAGATGAAGGATTTTAAGGCAATAATACAAACTGTTTTATTACGTTTGGCGCAATTTTATTTCCCCTTTTTTCTCAGCTGGGACCGCTTTCTTGCTTGCTCTCTACTTCATTTGGTATTATATCTTTTCATTTATTTGTTTGAACATCCCAAGAACTTCCATGATGTTCCTCCTATTTCCTCTAATTTGAAATTTCCTTTGGAAAATTCTAAAGGAAAAAAGAATAAAAGAATAGACATAATTGTGGGATGAACAAAACTCCAGGTGAGTTGAATAAATTAAAGAATAGTTTTTAATGACAACTGTAGAAAGTTATTTCACTTTAGATATTTCATATTAATATGTAAACTCATTGGAAAGAAGAACCTGAAATTTTAAGAAATCTACCTATTTTGATGTGGAATTAGAAGAAAGCTGACCATTGAAATAACTAAAACATGGTTCTTATTTTTTCGTAACACTTGATTATGGAGTTCTTTTTTGTTTTTTGGTTTGCTTACTGATCATGGTCCATAAATATATATATTATTAAAGAGAAGAAGGTCTGTAAATAAATTTATTAAAATTTTTCTGTTAAATATTATTATTTTATTTGGAATTTTTTGTTTCAATTAAAAATTGAAACTTTTAGAAAAGAATCTAGCATTGTATAATTCTCATAGAATGCCTAAATTAAAATACACTTATAAATCATATATAGATTACCATAAATCAATTATAAATTAATTATAAATCATAAATAATTTTATGTTTGACTGAAAACAAAAGTTTGAAAATAGCGTAAAATTTATTGGATCTTATTGATTTCATATATATCTAAATGTTAAAAAACACTATTATTTTGTAAATTTAATAACTATTTAACGATATAAACCTTTAACTAAATAGAAAAAAAAATTAGCTGAAAATGCTTAGTGATTGAAAATTTGGACCATAACCAATTATACTATAACATAAAAATGACCAATCCAAAAAAAAAATAAAAATATATTGTTACAAAAATTTTCACAATTGATAATAATTTATTTTAAATTTTTATATATAATTGAATTTAAACTTTATTTAATGCTTAGTATAATCCAATTGACCTCGCCGGTGCATGTTAACGGGTAAAAGAATACTGCTTGTTACTTCAAAGTTTAAACAGTAGTATCAATTTATTAGTTTATCTGTTATACTCTATTTTATTCTTTCCTTTTCTGCTCTTTTTCCCTAATGGAATGTTGTTGTGGTTGATTATTAACATAAGCTCATGTTTATGATACAATGCAAAGATGTAAAATTTTCTGCACAATCTCAAAACTTGTCCAGAGTTATACCGATGAACCACCATTACCAGGATACCAGCAAGTCCTCACGGAAGACTCCGAAAGTTGGGCCGACGAAGAAAATTTTTCAATCGGTCACAAGATTACGGGCTTTGATACCCACATATGCCAAGCTTGGGAACAAAAGCCCAAAGCCCGCAACAAAAACCCAAGATCCCGGCTGAACAGCATGGATGACGTCCAATCAGTATCATCATCATGCAACAAATGCCGGCCCGCAACCATTAGCAGTGAGCCCGACGGGCCCACAAAGGCGATCAAAAAGCCCAACATCATCGTGCCACTCACCGACTCACACCTGTCCCTCAACTCGAAACCGAGAAGCAAAAACGCTGTTTTGTCGTGGCTCTTTCCGAGGCTAAAGAAGAAGAACAAGAACGTGGGCTCGATTAATTCGCCAGCTCGAACCCAGGCACCCGATGAAATTTCTCAAATGCTAAATGATTTGGGAATTGTGTCTGTCGAAAATTTGAAGAGGGAATTGATTGAGGCGAACGAGAGCCGGGATGCGGCCTTGGGTGAAGTGGCGGGAATGAAATCGTCGTTGGGAGAGCTCAAGAGGAAGCTCGAGTATTTGGAGAGTTACTGCGAAGAGCTTAAGACGGCCTTGAAACGTGCAGTGCAGGTTAAATTATACTCCCTCCTATTCTTTTTAAATGTTAGTTTTGAAATAAATTTTATCTTGCCAATATCAGCCTTATTTAAAGCAAATTAACATTAATTGGTTTCTTTCTTTTCATGCTTTTTTATGTTTTTGAAGAGAAAAAACTCGTCGTATTCCACAATTTTCCTCCCACAAAACGTGTAATGTATTAGTTAAATGAGGGTAACAATGAAAAAATATGTATAAAATATCCAAAACTGTCATTTATATGATTAATGGTCAATAAAGCCAAAATAACAAATAAAAAGAATAGGAGGGGAGTACCATTTTTTGCCATGAATTACAACATGCTCGATTTATTCCT